ATAAAATACGATGGTGACTTATTCACCACCCTACCAAAACTCACAAGGGGGAGCACTTATATCATTCCAATGCGGCCACTCTGACAAGGCTGCCTGCAGATCAGCCTTGTGAGTGCAGCTGATCAATCAGTCTATCAATAATTACAACAAGGCTTTAATCTTTTGGATGATTACTAAATAATATGTCTTTTGATTGACTGCAATGAAGATTTTACTTTTCACTAAAATGTGGACTGATTCACATGTACTCTGTATTGGTTCTACATTAAACTTTTATTGCATGGATCTCTATTGGACCAAAGTGTTTTATTGAATGAATATTTAAAGAGTTCGAGAGGACCAGCAAACATCTGGCCCAGCTGGGGGAAAATAGAAACAGCAAGAAATTGCTCGCTTGGAACTGTCTGAGGTAAAATAAATCTGCATACCAGCACCTTTCATGCTCACAAATGAATATGTTAAATCTTGTCTGTTTAACATGTATAAAAAGTGTAGAAGTGTAAAAACAACAAGTTGAGCTAAGCTAAGTTAATCAGCTGCTGGTTCCAGTCTCTTATTTATCGGTGTTGTTACCTTTAGACAGAGCCAGGCTAACTGTTTACCCTCTATTTTGAGTCTATCTGCAAATTTACAGAGACATGAGAGTGGTGATCTTCTCAGCTAACTCACAGCACATTTCCTAAAATGATTAACTATTATTTTAACACATGATGAGTAGTTAACAAGGTAAGTCTCACAATAGAAAGATAAAAAATTGAAATATAATGCATGTGGTGTGTGTGTGTGTGTGTGTGTGTGTGTGTGTGTGTGTGTGTGTGTGTGTGTGTGTGTGTGTGTCTCACCTAATGTTGACAGTGATACAGGGAGAGGTCAGTAATTGCAGAGATTGAAATATTGGGCACTCTGGGGTGTTTTAGTCAACAGGGGACTGACTGTTAAGCTCACAAGTTATTTTACATATTCTCCATTCCTGCAACCTCTGACGCTGTTTGCCTTTTTATAACATTCCTCTACCTCTTCAAAATTTAAACAAGCTTCTGTCTGAAACAACCCTCATGGCTCCAGTTGTGTAATGCCTTCACGGTCAGTGAGCAGACACTCACTCTCAGGCAGGAAAACCTAGCCTACATATTTTTAATATAACCTAAATGAAACACACAAGTGGTTAATTATGGTAACATTAGATCCTAATGACCTTATGGGATGTCATGGCATTAATTTTAATAGCCTACTTCTAGATAATTCTAGAGCACATGTAGGACCCTATAATAGGCTCCTTGTAAAAAGTCACAATGCGTTAATTTGTGCTTTAATGATTTTAAAGGTGATCTCTTGCTGCAGGTTAGTCGACGTTATCGTCTTTTGTGGTAGGCTATATTATAATAATGATCCTATTGGAACACATGATTTTGCTTCAATCGTCGTAAAATATGTAACACCACATTAATAGAATACAGGCTAATAAGATAATTAGAGGAATAAGGGGTGATGAAATTGGGATTGACTGTTTTTAATTGCGGTCGAAGGAAAACAAGGTACAGAATCTATGGGGATTGTTTATGCAGACATGTTCACTCTAATGTTACCAATAACATCTCTTTGTGTAGAGAAAAAAAGAGTGTTATCAAAATGATCCCAACAATGACTCACGCATTGCCGACGTAGATCCTCGGGTAAACCTCATGGAAGTGTTTAGTCGGCCAGCTGTAAAAGCCGCTGTCGTCCGTCAGCAGATCGTTGAGTTGCTGGAGAGTCACCTCGAAGCTCGACATGTCGAGTCGGTTCGGAGCCTCTGTCTGTGCCTGTTGGCTGTGTTTATTCTTCATAGCCTACCTGAAGACCGAAGCGACACCTTCAGCAGGCGCACACAGAAAGGAGACGGCGGGGTGAATGTGGCAGACAGGTGTCGGTTTACCAGTCTGATGAAGTGTGAACGCTGCTCAGCTGTGCCTGCACCGCCGCCGCGGCTCAACACTGAGGGCTGCTCAGTGTTGTGGAAATAAACCACAGTATGCAGGGGCGGTCTGGGCTTTTTGGTGGACCTGGGTCAGGTTTGGTTTCAGAAGTGCGTGTGTGTGTGTGTGTGTGTGTGTGTGTGTGTGTGTGTGTGTGTGTGTGTGTGTGTGTGTGCACCCCTGGGATCTTTCTAGGGTGACCAGATGAGAATGGGCGAAATTCGGGACAGTAATTAAAATTAGAAGAATAAATAGTTTTCACCATAATTCCATCCATAAGTAACAATGAACGAACGTATGACTATTTGGGTCATGGGTTTCATACACTTTCTGTAATAAAACATCTAAAAGCAAATATCCTATCTGATAAGCGTGTCTGGGACAAAATCTTATCAAATGGAGATCTGTGGTCTAATTTGTGTTAGCTGTGTCATTTGGGCTGATAAAGTATCCAATAGTAAACTATATATACTTGTACAGAAAAGTTTAGATAGAGAAGAGTTCAGTTGTGTCTCGGAAGCAGAAGTTGCAATGGATAGTCTTACAACTCATGAGAGGCAATGTCGCTACCGCCACCTGCTGGTGTAGCTAATAAACTGCTCTCACATTTACAGATCTCTGTTTACAGATCTCTGTGGTACAGAGTGGACAAAATCCCACAAATGCGTAAAAAGAAGTCACAAATGTAACGTGACCTGCAAATTGACAGGAAATGATCCGCAAATGCGTAAATAACACTTTGTATGTGAAATTAAAATATGTGTGTACAGAGTAAATTGTACATATTTGCTAATTGCACTGTATTTTTGTGGATATGATTTTACACAACACAAATGTAAAAATACATGTTTTGGGTAGTGAGATATTTGTGTAAGTTTCTTTTACAGATATCCACAGTGCACATTGGACTAAATTCCACAAATGTGTAAAATAGAAGTTACAAATGAACCACAAATTGACAGAAAGCAATTTGCAAAAACTGTTTTGTGTGTAGAAGTCACTCTGTATTTTTGTGGATATCATTTTACGCATCACAAATGTAAAAATACACATTTGTAGAGAGTGAAATATTTGCGCATCATAGTACACATTTGTGGATTGTTTTCTGTGGGTTACAAATAAGAGTAAAGTCCAATAAAATCTTCCATAGACATAACGGCATTGGTGCGTCTGTGTGTGCGCGAGTGAGAGAGAGCGCTCTTTCTATTTATTCTATTCTTATCTATTCTAGCTAGGCTAAGTAAATGGATATTAGCCTACTATAACTGTGTTTTTAACTTTGTTATGGCTAGGCTAGCAGACCCAAGTGCAGGACTAAGAAAGGGAGGAGTTAGATAAAAGAGGAATATTTATTGCAGGTTAAAAGGATCAGATAGCCTATTGAGCAGGTGAAGAGCAAGGCAGAGTCTAAATGGATGCGTGCCGAACCGTGTTGGTGGCTGCTGTGCAGGCGGGAACCGTAGCTGAGTGTCCAGAGTGAGAGAATGTGATAGGAGCAGGTCCAGAGCAGAATCCGGGAATAGTTTAGCTGAGCGGGGGTCCAGACGGAGAGCGGTATTTCCGATAGCAGAACTAAATCTAACACGTTATTATGAAAAACTCACTTTGAACTTTTATCATAACGACCAAATGCTCTTCTTATACAATCAGACTAATGTAATTATTTAAATGTGTTCATTATGTTGTTTGTTTCTAGCCTACAGTTTACTGATTAATTTTAAAATGTAGGAAATTTGACTCTTTTGATCTGTGATGAAATTAAGCAATTGTAAAATTAATAAACACCATAACTTCCACACTACTGCTGTCATCACTCAGTTTAAAGTGCTCCCACACAGCTGAGGGCTTCATTTGGTTTTCCCTTTGATGTTAACTGGTGCATTACTTTCACTGCTGTCGGCGGAGGTCAGGCGCGCGAAAAAAATCTCAATAATCGAATCTCAAAATTGAAATTCGAATGTGTACCCAACGGTCGAATATTCGGGTCCAGCCCTAGTATTAATATCATAAAATTTTGTATAATGCATGAAAAGCAAAAAAATAAAAATTGACAGAATTAAGTTAAGTCTGATCTGGCCACATCGGCATATGATTAGATTATCCGGTGTTGTTGTTTGGACTAGCTAACCTGTAACATTACCACCGGGGCTCCCACTCCCCACTCGGCTGCTTTCTCTACCTGCTTGGCTCAACACCAGCGCCGGCAACAATGTGGATCAACAGGATGTTTGTGTGGTTTGTGCTCTCCTGGACTGCCCTGTCTTTCATGCTAGCTCCAACAACAGAGATACTCCAATACACAGCGACTGAACTCCTGCAGCTATGCTTCCACCTGTCTGGAGATGTTTTGCTCCATACTAAAACAACATCATACTACTTCTTCCTTTGCTCATGTCATAATTCCACTAGAGGACTTTGTCCTATGTTGTTTTGTGGCATTTGTTGTAACACCTGGTTTTGTTGGAAGACAGTCTTGCTGGCATGCAAAAAAACTGGTACAGAGAATTTTTCTGTGCAAGAAATCATTTTTATTGATATACATATGTGGTCATTATACAAGCATTAGTTAGGAAGAGAAAGATATTCTCCATTGAAGCCTTGCATCCCAGTGTGGTGGAGGATTTCATATATATTTCACTGCAAAGCGCTTTGAAGGTATAAAGCCCAGACCAGCTGGAAACATGGTGAAGTGTATAAACCGTGCTTTGTCCTCCTGTGACCCATTAGCAAGACTGGACCACAGTATAAACTCCTAGGTTCACTGTGCTGCTCCCCTACCTACCTGTTTTAACCATTGACTTTAAGTCAGTAAGGAAGCTGTTTAAAAATGAAAACATTTTTGCAAATGTATAAGGGATTTTTTAAAACAAAATCAATAAGGGATAAAACATTTCATTTCATATTATATCTTAGCATCTACATATTGACAATGAAATTCGGGTCACTTCAAACTAAAGATTTCCTGTGCACGCCATGTAACCGCTCCTTTTCTATCTAAAAGCTCATAATGCAAAACTACTTAGCAGTTTGTGAGAAAGATCTCCCCTCAGAGTCAAGCTGGCTGCCTCACTCTTCAGCACATCTCAGGTAGCAATTTAGCCGCCCGACAGCGGAGGACTTTCAGGAAGCTGTCAATCTTGTGCGAGTCCCGGCGGAAGCAGGACAACAGGAAATGGAAGTTGGTCAATTTGGAAATCTTGTCCTGGCCGATGTCATTGCCTCCTCTGTAGGGCAGTAAGGAGATGGTCTGAGCCGCTGGACCCATCTGAGGGAGAAAGGAGGCAGAGGAAGTGAGAGGGAGGAAAGCTGTTAAAACACAGTTTATATTAACATTTTAAATGGGTGCAAAGCAAAACAAAATGTGTCTGAGGGGTTTTCTTCCCATGCTGGCACACCTTGCCAGATAGGATATCCAGGCCGTCTCCCAGGTTCTTGGAGTGCTGCTGCAGCTCCTGGATTTTGTTAGATATGTTGCTTTGGGCAGGGTGAGGCAGGGTGTTAGCGGAGGTGGACAGGACTACCAGGGGGTCTACCCAGGCTTGGAGCAGGGAGCGAGCCAATGACAGCAGGTCTGACTCCTGGTGAAGAGTCAAACAGATGATGAGAATACAAAAAGTTGAAATATATAAATCCAGCCTGTACCTTAAAGGGACACAAGAGATAAAAATGCAGAAAATATCTGATGTGAGCACTTTACTGAACGGTTGTGTGGACACAGTGTCTGTGACGTGACAGATAGGTTTCTGAGGAGCTGTTGTGAAGATCAATGTGGATGCCTCTGGCTTTAAGCCTTAATATAATTTAAACTGGTGAGTTACATATAAATCTGCCCCTTGCAAAGTTGTTATAAAGGGAGAAATTAGCTATAGAGAACAAAACCGTTTCTTGGCTGTAGACAGTTTGTAATTCCAAGTGATGGCCTGCAGAGGTCAGTAAGTATTATGCATTTCTTAAAGTTAATGTCACAATGAAATCAAAATGCCTTTCCACTTGTTTGCTAATTTTCAACTCATATCCACCCAATAAATGCCAAAACAAACATGTTGTCATTCTGAAATCTGGTACATTTTATAAAGATGCTTTGCTTTAGTTATTTGGGTGAAAGATGAGATAGCTCATTAATGTTTGTTTGTTTTCATAGAAACTCAATGATTTGATGCTTGTCTACTAAGGAAATATGATAATCAAAAACATTGGACTGGTCAACTTGTCTGACTCCTGCTGGATAGGAGATGTTATTTGATGTATGACAGTGACAGAGACAACAATAAAAAGGGAGATAAAAGAGGCAAAGAGAAGACTGTACAGGTAACTTGATGAAAACACTGAGAAAATTGAAAGCAAAAAACAAGGAAGAAATGAAGAACTGACATACATACGGTCACTTACTGATACTTGAAGAGCTTGCTCCTTGTCAATTGGTGTCTGCAGAGAGGAGGTGTGGCACATTGAGGGGCGGGGCATGATCATGCGGCCTATAGGAGGGAAATGAGAGTCCTGGAAGAGACAGATGATGATTATTATATTCACAATTAACTGCTTACCTGGCAAATACACGTTTTACTGTGATGGAAGGTTAAACATGTAAAAAAAATTAAAACCAGATCGTACATCCTAGAAAATTCACAGCCATTGCTTTCTTTTGTCTCATGTAGTATATTATTCCCACTGTGCTTGCAGACTTTCATGCAAGTATAACAGGGTTCCCAAGGACCCGCATGCAAATTCAGAGCCTTGGCAATCAGGAAGCAATGAGCACAGCTGAATAGGGCTTTAACAGGTGGTTAAACATGTCTGTGTGGGAAGGCTTAGACCCTCAGACAGTGCAAACACAAAAGCAGGTACTGACCAGCTCCTGGGTCAGTGTTGTGCTGAGGGAGTGCAGTGTGTCAGAGCGCTGAGAGGCTCGGTCCAGCAGGTCACTGATGGGGATGGCACTGCACGCTGCCACCATATACAACACTAGGGAGCATGGAAAGCCACAAAGATGTACAGAGTTGTTTTCTTTAGTCATTTCAGTCAGGTCTACCGTATTTGTAAAGCCAAATGTCACACACAGCGCAGCACTGGGCTTCACAAAGCCATATCAGCAACAGCCCACCCAAAGCAGCCAGAGCTGTAGAGATGAGTGTTAATGCTCCTGTGGTTCAGCAACACTAGCACTCCTTTTCCTTTTATTAAATGTTAACACATGCCTTGATAGCAAAATAGGCTCACTTGTCCTAACCAGCAGGTGTAACAGATTTCTGAGCTGATATCAATACAGCATCATATTTTCACTTTTATACCATCTTCAAGACATTGTATGTTTTCTGAAATATTTAATGAATGACTGATGAATGTTAATAAAAAGCTCGGATTTGAGCAGCAACACTTATCACATTAGATTAAACACAGGTGTACACCCAATTCTTCATCTACTTGAAAGCTTTTAACATTGTAGGAAAAAAAAAAGAGAATATACATTACTTGTTATTTTAGAGTAAAGAATAGCATTTTATAGATCTCACACAAATAATTGCAAATAATTTCAAGGCCAAGCTCGTCTCACCCGTCATGAGGAGTTTGCTTCCGCTGGTTTTTCTGTGTGCCATCTCTCCTCTTTTTCTCGCTGCTGTTTCTTTCTCTTTCTCCATTTTGCCCCCATTTTATAGTTCCTTGGCTTCAACTTTTTGATTATGCAGTAGGGTGAGCGTGTGCTGATTGGAACTTGTTTTGTCCACTTCATAATGAGAAACATGGTCAAGGAGGTTTGAATGGATGCAACAGGATGCAGTCACAGGTTGATGATTGTCTGTGTGTGTGTGTGTGTGTGTGTGTGTGTGTGTGTGTGTGTGTGGAGGAGGGGCGGGGTGGAAAATGTTTCTCCCAGATCTTAATTGCATTGGATGAATAAAAACAGTTGTTCACTCACTGTTTTATAATGACATGGCGACTTGAATTCAGCTCCCTCTGACGATCTTGTGGGGGCAATGGCCAATGTTTCAGGGCTTCCTGTGTCGGAGCATATCCGGATAACAGATATCTAGGCCAAGACTTCCTCTTCTGTGCATTGTTTACTGTCAAATTAGCAATCTCAGAACCCATCAACCATTGGATGGTGATGATTTGAATGCAGACATATTTAAATAAAAATGCTGTATCAGGAACAGATTGTGTAGATGCAGACTGACAGCAAGTCTGCTTAAGTTATTTCTGATCCTGAAGGTTTTGCTTCAGATTTGGTAATCCAATTCTACCTTTAACCATGACAAAATGCGGGATTTGGGTTTTTCAACATTTAAGACAGAGATCTGGATCAAGTTGATGCCAGCATTCTGAATAATCTGGATCCCATCTCAGACGTGGATTTCAGCTCTAAATTGAATGAGCCCTTTAAATGTGAAAGTGTTTTAGTTTTAACAGAACTAAGTAAATGAAGAAATGTTAAACATTTAAAAATACAGTTAGGACACACTTCATCCGGAAAACACCTGGAAAAATGGCTGTAAATACAAGTGTGACAAATACAGACAACACGTTTCTCAAAGTCTAGTTTTACTTAAACATTGTAACTTTTTTTCATCATAGACTGTATGAAGGAAGTGGACATAGCCACCGTGACGTTATCCATTGGTTTGTGGACCACCGTTTTATAACCTTGAGTTTGGCGTTTAGGCTGTCCCTATCTTGGTTTTTTGGAAGCAGACACCGGACGTGACCATATTTGGATGAGAGGGTGGCGCTAGATAGCTTGGTTAGCAAGGTGCTAAGTTTGGCTAGCGAAAAATAGGTTTAAAACAAAATGTACTGATCGGAAAAATGAACAGCGGACTCCTAAAAAGTTTTTTTAACGCCGCTGGTCAACTTACACAGCGAAGTGGATATGAGTTGCCTCTATCCTGATTAACAGATTGTCACAATAGCGACTTGTCAATCACAAGATGGCCACGCACTAAAGCATCCCCTGCTTTATCGTAATTTTCCCTCTAAATAGGACAATAATTTACTAAATAAACATCATGCTGTAATGAAGAAGACTTGAAACTAGTGATGGAGACCATATTCATTAGAAAAGTGTTTACTGAGATAATAAATCAAGTGAGAAGTTGGATAATTTTGCCATTAAGTCCAATACATTGGGACTTCTTTTTGCAACCAGTGGAGTCTCCCCCTGCTGGCCATTTGAAAGAATGCAGGTTCAAGGCACTTCGTTTGGGTTTCAGTTTTCATACCCTGAGATTGCTTGGTTTGTACCAAAACATCCAAGGTATGGTTTAGCAGCAAACAAGAAAGCTGTTAATCATCCAGGACTGTCCTTTTACTGTTTGCATTCTAATAAAATCAATTGGCACCTGGAGGGAAGTTGTCCTCATTCAGCGTATCATTTCATTGAGTGTGAATCATTTTGACTTTGGGCTTTTTACTGAGTGCTACGTAAAATGTCTTTGTGTTTTAAGTCTACCTCGTGGAATTATTGGCTGTATGCTTACAAATTGTATAATTATGGTAAACACATGTCTGTGTAGTATAAGATGCACAAACGTTTTCACTAAGGATCGATAAATAGGTTTATTACAAAAATCTTGTGTTAACTTGTATTCATTGCAGTCACACCAACAAATACACAAACATAAATTAAACTAAAACTATCCATGATGCAGTCACAGTGGGCATGAAGATAGTCTGAATGGATTAGACAGCAAGCATGAACATAGCTTCTAAAGTTCAAGCAACATGCAGGATGCTGTATCGGAAGCAGATGGTGTGGACGCAGACTGACAACAAGTCTGCCATAAGAGTAAGGCAGTGAGTACTTTGAGCTGACTCTTGACAAAGAAGTCCTCTAAGAAGTGAAGTTATCTGTGGAAGGCAGGAGGCCAGGCCTGTGTTGCCGGTTAGAAGTTTAGAATAGCTAATGCCGCTGAGATAAACTTTGACGCTATGTGTTTTGATGGCTGTCAACAAAATGGGAATCGGTAACATAACAGGTTTCGTTGCAATATCAAAATCACATGATGGCAAGGTTACTGGTCGTGAAGCAGAAACTCTTCCAAGCTGACCAGTAAGATGAGATGGTTACGGGGATTTTGGTCGGTGCCAAATATGGAGGAACTAGTGTTGATATCTGCCACAGGGGCCAAGCCTCTAATAATTAATCAACAAAATAATTAGTGTCTAATTATTTTGTTGATTATGTCTACGACTGAGAGGTTGTTGGAGTTTACTCTCTCTTTTTTTTTGAGCCTTGGATTACAGAAATTGTGGTCTGAGACACAGAGGCGGCGGAGACGTTTCCAGCTTACGTTGGTGCAAGGTAGCCCAAATGCTACCTGTATCCTCCAGTGTTGGTGGCAGTATTCAGATCCTTTACTTAATAATAATAATAAACTAATTTTAACACCTTTCAAAATCGTTTAAGGGCTTTACATTAAAAACAGAACACATAAGTAAACAAACACAAAGAGAATAAAATAAACTAAAAGCCAGAAAAACAAAACACAAAGAGTAAAATTAATTAAAATGTTATAAAACATAAATGAAGAATACCAAAAAGCAACAAAAAAGTGGGATTTTAAAAGTGATTTTAAAAAGACAAGACAGATTTTGCAATCCTGGGCCCGTATTTATCAAGCTTCTCAGACTCACTCATAAGAACACTGCTTAAGAACTGACTTAAGAGTAAAAAAAGTTAATTATCAAGCATCTCAGTCCTAATTTAAATGAAGTGTATGACTAAATCTTAAGTGTCTGTCTTTGAGCCGATTCACGACACTTTGCGGTGCTGCATACGGGATTTTAAAAATCACAGAATAGATTTCCTTATTTAAGAATATTCTCAGATAAATTCACATTGAATGGTGAAAAGAGGAGCTTACGTTCAATACACAATAACGACAATAACCCGGCAATTGGCATGAATTAGTCAGGGTTAGGGAAAACATCAGACTTCAGCGTCAACATCAGATCCTTTGATCTATAACATCACACGACTTCCTCCTTTGCTCGTGTCACAATTCCTACGACCACTAGAGGACATTATCATTCGAATGTAAACAAATGTTTTGGGGGATTTGCTGTAACACCTGATATTGTTTTTCTTGGAAAGACGGTCTTGCAAGCTTACTTTCTAAAAAAAGAAAGCTGACACTGAGAATTTTGCTGTGCAAGAGATACTCTTTTATTGATGTACAGATTTTATATCAAAATGCTGTCAAGGGGTGTCTTTAAATCTAAAGTGCAAATGCTGCAGTTTGTCATCACACATCTCCATTGAAGTCTTGCATCCCAGTGTGACAAATTACTTGAAGAGATGCTGGTGGAGGGATTTCATGTCACAACCTGCTTTCCACAAAGCTCCTTTGGCAGCTTGGCTTTGAGGGTGTCAAGGACAAGGAAGTGTCACAGGAGAAGTAACTCACAGATTTACCTCAGTTTGTCACCACAATATGGTCCAGCTGGAAACATACGGGGAAGTGTATGAGCTTTAGGTTCATTGTGCTGCTCCCCCACCTACCTGGAATGTATAAAGCTGTTTTAGGGAATATTTTCCTTTGTCAAAAATCTCCCCTCAGAGTCAAGCTGGCTGCCTCACTCTTCAGCACATCTCAGGTAGCAATTTAGCCGCCCGACAGCGGAGGACTTTCAGGAAGCTGTCAATCTTGTGCGAATCCCGGCGGAAGCAGGACAACAGGAAATGGAAGTTGGTCAATTTGGAAATCTTGTCCTGGCCGATGTCATTGCCTCCTCTGTAGGGCAGTAAGGAGATGGTCTGAGCCGCTGGACCCATCTGAGGGAGAAAGGAGGCAGAGGAAGTGAGAGGGAGGAAAGCTGTTAAAACACAGTTTATATTAACATTTTAAATGGGTGCAAAGCAAAACAAAATGTGTCTGAGGGGTTTTCTTCCCATGCTGGCACACCTTGCCAGATAGGATATCCAGGCCGTCTCCCAGGTTCTTGGAGTGCTGCTGCAGCTCCTGGATTTTGTTAGATATGTTGCTTTGGGCAGGGTGAGGCAGGGTGTTAGCGGAGGTGGACAGGACTACCAGGGGGTCTACCCAGGCTTGGAGCAGGGAGCGAGCCAATGACAGCAGGTCTGACTCCTGGTGAAGAGTCAAACAGATGATGAGAATACAAAAAGTTGAAATATATAAATCCAGCCTGTACCTTAAAGGGACACAAGAGATCAAAATGCAGAAAATATCTGATGTGAGCACTTTACTGAACGGTTGTGCTGAACTGCAATAGTCTGGGCAGATGTTAAGTGTGGCAACAACCTGTCTTCCAAAGATGTTGTCATTTTAAGTGATAGCCTGAAGAGGTCAGTAAGAATTTCACGTGTCTTTGTTAATGTCACAATGAAATGAAAATGCCTTTCCATTTGCAGCCTAGATACCTTTTCAAGTCATTTCCACCCAATAAATGCTCATTTATTTCTGAATGTTGTTATTCTGAAATCAAATAAATACATTTTTGCAAGATGCTTTCAAAGTGCTGTTTAATTGCAACAAGGTCAGTTGCCGTACAAGACGAATATTTATCATTTAGACCTTTCAGATTGGCAATCCAATTGTTTGGCGGCAAATTGCTTGGATTACGAAAAACATGATGGTTATTTGTATCCCCTTTTAAAATGTTCACTTCAGTTATTTGGGTGAAAGCTGAGATAGCTCATTATGAGGAAATCACTGAGATAAATGTAAGTTATGAGGACTAAAAAGAGATATAGTCACTTACTGATAATTTAAGAACTTGCCACTTGTGATTAGGTGTCTGCAGAGAGGAAGTGTGGCACTTTGATGGGCGGGGCATGATCATGCGGCCTAAAGGAAGGAAACGAGAGCCCTGGGAGAGATAGATGATGATTATTATATTAACAATAAACTGCTTTTTTTTTTTTAAACACAAAAGCAGGTACTGACCAGCTCCTGGGTCAGTGTTGTGCTGAGGGAGTGCAGTGTGTCAGAGCGCTGAGAGGCTCGGTCGAGCAGGTCACTGATGGGGATGGCACTGCACGCTGCCACCATATACAACACTAGGGAGACAACACAGAATTGATTTCTTTTGTCATTTCAGTCAGGTCTACCGTATTTGTAAAGCCAAATGTCACACACAGCGCAGCACTGGGCTTCACAAAGCCATATCAGCAACAGCCCACCCAAAGCAGCCAGAGCTGTAGAGATGAGTGTTAATGCTCCTGTGGTTCAGCAACACTAGCACTCCTTTTCCTTTTATTAAATGTTAACACATGCCTTGATAGCAAAATAGGTTCGCTTGTCCTAACCAGCAGGTGTAACAGATTTCTGAGCTGATATCAATACAGCATCACTTTCAAACATAATGTATGTTTTCTAAAAGGTTTAATGAATGGCTGATGATTGATGAATGAATTTTGTTAGATAAAACAGAGAAATCACCACCACTTAGCAACAGATAGGTCTACCTGGTGTTTGATATATATCAAAATATTGGTCAAGATTTGTTTTCCATAAACACATAACAATGATAACATTAATAAACATTGTGATAAGGATCCCTTAAATTTGGTTATTAATTAAAATTATGTACTGAGCTCTGTGGAGGACAAACACTGTTTCTCAATGACTTCAAACATTTTTTTTAGTACAATTTCTTGTTAGCCTAAGTTACTTACCAGCGGATAAGTAGGCTATTCCTTTATCAATATTGTTAGTCTAGCTCCAGTGGGCCAAATTTAAAATCTCTGATTTGAGCAGCAACACTTATCACATTGGATTAAACACAGATGTAGGCCTACAGATGTTTGCATACCCAATATTTTATTTATTAGAAAGCTTTTAACATTGTTAAAAAATTTTAGTGTAAAGAACAGCATAGATCTCACACAAATAAGTAATTTCATAGATCATGAGGCTCGTCTCACCCATCATGAGGAGTTTGCTTCCACTAATCTTTCCGTGAGCCATCTAGGCCTATCTGGTTTTGCCACCGATTTGTTTGTCTTTTTCTCGTCCCTGTTTCTTTCTCTTTCTCCATTTTGCCTCCATTTTATAGTTCCTTGGCAGATCTGGTTAGTGGCCAGTTCCTCCCTTACATGTAGGCCTACAGAAGTCACTTTTTGTGTAAATAAAAAAAACTGTACCGACAAAGTTGTTTTTGTGCAGCGTTTTACTCTTATTTGTAGAGAACATATTTACTTTTACTCCGTTACATTTCCAAACGTTTTCCTACCGCTGCCACGCCTCCACCTGACTCTGATGAGAGCAGCATCAGGCTGCAGCTCAGCAGGCATGGCTTTCAGATAGAGCCAACATCCATCCAAGAATCAACTGCGACTGTGAACGCAGGTCTGAGGTCAGTACATACACACTGTATAATGCTTCAAAACTACTCCTGCTTTCTTCTGTAACGTAACGTAACGTAAATAAATTTCATGTGCACACGACTGATACAGTGTTTCAACCACAGATGGTCTTCCTCAGGTAAACGTGAGCACACCTGTTTTTAATAGGCAATAATTGATGTAACATCATGTTCTACATGAGTCATCTGATATCTGAGACATTTTCAGAGAGATTAAACAGATGTGGCCACTTGTCTAATCGTGTTGTCTTCATGTGGTTGGAGAGAGCTGGGCCGGTGTTGTAGTCCTACTGGTTTCCAAACGACCTGGTTACGCGTGCGCATGTTGTGCGCAGCAGCAGCAGGACTCCATCCTCAGATTCGTCACACATTCACAAACATATTCCGGGCGAGTTTCAAATCGCATCTTTAATCTACTGCGGCGATCATGATTGTATAAGTGAGCACTACATAGAGCCACATACGAAAAAAGAAAATGGACTTTTTACAAAATCGCTCAAGCTGGATTCGAACTCACCTGAGCAATAACTAACATCTACTCCCAGGTCTACATGTTAACTGCAAGTCATCCAGTCACGTACTGATGAAGCACGTCAACATCCAGGCAACATTTTGTATGGGCTAATATGAAACAACTGGTTACCTTGAGCGATCTTAAAAATACCAGAACATGTTTATCAAGGTGTTTTTGTCGAGGCATGTTGTGTCCGCAGCTGCTGCACACAACGTGCGCACTAGCAATGTGAGCATATGTAACCTCAGGATTTTACCTCAGACTTTCTGACAGTGAAGTTGCCAGTTGGCAAAAGGGGCATTCCATTGAATAACATCTAACTTACAAACGATCAACCATAAAGAGGCAAGGTGAGGGGGGCGTCTTACCCCAAACATACTAATCTAGCATTTTACTTCTTAAACCAAAACTATAAATATCTTTCTCTCTAAACAATTGCATAACTTATCTTAAGGCTTCCCTTAATGTAAATATAGATATAAATAAAAAAATAACACAATTAAAAAATATATTACAGCTTATTTTAAATGATAAAAACATTAGATGAACTTATGTCAGAATGACTTTGATCAATTTTCAAAATGGCCCACAAGAGACTGGTCTCTTTTCTGTTAGACCTTGCTCTAGAGCTAGACGGCTAGACTGATACTCCAGTCCTGCTATCCAGTCGCCGGCCTCCTGCTCTGCACTCCAGCCGTTACGTTACTTACTACAGCCTAACTGTTTTACTAAAGTGTGGCAACTATCTCATTTATAATATTACAATGCGGACATTGCTGAGCCTCTCCGGTGAAAGATGCACAAGTAGGCCTACTAGTTATTGAAAAGCAGGCAGGGGAGCTGGCAGTGTCAGGTTCCCCTGTTAATGCTGGCTGGTTTGAATACTGAAGCGGGATGATGGGGGGCCACTGATGTCCCGGTTTCATTTGCCTTGGATAATATAGGCTGCTGTTGCCGTTGTTGAGAAACCGGGTGAGAGGAGGGGTGTCCCGTGATTCCTCTTGTTTGTTGCTCCAACTGAAGGAAGCTGTGTTAAGAATCGATGAGAGGTGGTTGCTGAAGCCCTTTTCTTCCCTTCTGGCTGATCCAGTCCCGTATTTTTCTTTTGTTACTGGCCTTTCTGCTGTCTTGAGCTACAGGATAAAGGTGAACTGTCCCTTCAACGGAGGCGCTGATGTCACTGTGTCTTGTTGGGCGGTGAAGTCACGGCGTTGACGGCACCGTGGGCAATATTTAAATATTTATATTCTTTCTGAAAATACTTAGGCCTAAGTGTTTTTTTATTTTGTAGTTTAAAAATACTGTAAAATACTTTGTGAGAAGTCTACATGATGACATCATTAAAAAAAACGCTGCCTCTAATTGGTGCTCAAATAGAAAACTGACACAGAGATGTTAACTGTGCAAGAGATTTTTATTGATATAGAGATTTTGAAGAAATGTTTTAATTGCTGGACATCACATGCAAAAAGCTTTCAAGAAAGTGTCATTAAATCTAAAATGAAAAATGCTGCAGTTTTTCATGAGACAAGCTTAGTTAGTAAGAGAAAGGGATATTCTACAGAAGCCTTGCCTTCCAGTGTGAAGAATGACTTAATAACACCCTGCCTACCACTGCAAAGCTCTTTTGGCAGCTTGGCTTTGAGGGTATAAAGGACAAGGAAGTGTCACAGGAGAAATAACTTACAGATTTACCTCAGTTTGTGACCACAATGTGGTCAGTTAATTTTGCCAGACCAGCTGGAAACATATGGGGAAGTGTATAAACCGTGCTTTGTCCTCCTGTGACCCATTAGTAAGACTGGACCACAGTATAAACTCCTAGGTTCAATGTGCTGCTCCCCTACCTACTTGTTTAACCACTGACTTTAAGTCAGTAAGGAAGCTGTTTAAGAAGTAAACCCTTTGGTGAATGTACAAGGGCAAAACTTCCAACAAAATCAATAAGGGTAATAATACCATGTGTTTGACATTATATCTTGGCAAATATACATTCAAATTGAGAATAGGATCGATGATGTTAATGTTCTTGCGCTGTGATGTCTAAAATGTGTCACTTCAAACAAAAGATGATGAAAAGATTTTTGTGCGTGCCATGTAACTGCTCCTTATCGCCACCTTCTGAAAGCAAGAGGAATATTAGCGCAAATATGAGATTTGTAGTTTGTGTTAAACTATTTGGACGGCAAGTTTGGGAAAAAAATCATCCCTCAAGCTGGCTGCCTCACTCTTCAGCACATCTCAGGTAGCAATTTAGCCGCCCGACAGCGGAGGACTTTCAGGAAGCTGTCAATCTTGTGCGAGTCCCGGCGGAAGCAGGACAACAGGAAATGGAAGTTGGTCAATTTGGAAATCTTGTCCTGGCCGATGTCATTGCCTCCTCTGTAGGGCAGTAAGGAGATGGTCTGAGCCGCTGGGCCCATCTGAGGGAGAAAGGAGGCAGAGGAAGTGAGAGGGAGGAAAGCTGTTAAAACACAGTTTATATTAACATTTTAAATGGGTGCAAAGCAAAACAAAATGTGTCTGAGGGGTTTTCTTCCCATGCTGGCACACCTTGCCAGATAGGATATCCAGGCCGTCTCCCAGGTTCTTGGAGTGCTGCTGCAGCTCCTGGATTTTGTTAGATATGTTGCTTTGGGCAGGGTGAGGCAGGGTGTTAGCGGAGGTGGACAGGACTACCAGGGGGTCTACCCAGGCTTGGAGCAGGGAGCGAGCCAATGACAGCAGGTCTGACTCCTGGTGAAGAGTCAAACAGATGATGATTAGATAATTCCATAAGCTGAAGGGAGATGAGGTCAGAATCCAAGAGAAAATATCTAAAGTGAGAATTACAGAACTGTTGTGTTGAATTGCAATAGTCTGTGCCAGAGATGGGGACTTGAGTTTGAGACTTGGACTCGAGTCTGTGTGTGCACATTACATGGTTGTGCTCTGTAAGTGAAAAACAGGTTACAGTTGCAGAATCCTTTATAGCTATACAGTAAGCAGCCTGGTTTGAACGCAGCAGGTGATGCAACATTCATTAAAACCACGAGAGACTTGAGACTTGACTTGGACTCTAGCTCAAAGACATCTCTGGTATGTGCAGATATTAGTGTGGCAACAACCTGTCTTCCAAATATGTTGTAATTCCAAGTGGTCAGAGGTAATATTACACATTTCTTAAAGTTAATGTCACAATGAAATTAAAATGTCTTTCTACTTGTTAACTCATTTTCAATTCATATCCACCCAATGAATGCTCATTTATTTTTATGTTGTTATTCTGAAATCAAATAAATAAATTTTTGCAAGACGCTTTCAAAGTGCTGTTTGGGTTAGGTTCAGTTGCCATCTGACGCACACCCACATCATTTTGATCTCTCAGATTTGTAATCCAATTGTTTGGCTGCCAGTTTCTTGGATTTTGAAAATTATGGTGGATAGCTCCTTAATGTTTGTTTGTGTTCATAGAAACTTCAGTCAAGTCTCGACTGATTTCACAATGTTTAATTTGTTGGATTTGCTTTGTCTTTTAAGGAAGTATAATAATCAGAAACATTGCTCTGATCAAATGATCTGACTCCTACTGGATAGGAGATGTTATTTGATGTATGACAGTGACAGAGACAACAATAAAAAGGGAGATAAAAGAGGCAAAGAGAAGACTGTACAGGTAACTTGATGAAAACACTGAGAAAACTGAAAGCAAAAAACAAGGAAGAAATGAAGAACTGACATACATACGGTCACTTACTGATACTTGAAGAGCTTGCTCCTTGTCAATTGGTGTCTGCAGAGAGGAGGTGTGGCACATTGAGGGGCGGGGCATGATCATGCGGCCAATAGGAGGGAAATGAGAGTCCTGGAAGAGACAGATGATGATTATTATATTCACAATTAACTGCTTACCTGGCAAATACACGTTTTACTGTGATGGAAGGTTAAACATGTAAAAAAAATTAAAACCAGATCGTACATCCTAGAAAATTCACAGCTAATTCTTTTCTTTTGTCTCATGTAGTATATTACTCCCACTGTGCTTGCAGACTTTCATGCAAGTATAACAGGGTTCCCAAGGACCCGCATGCAAATTCAGAGCCTTGTCAATCAGGAAGCAATGAGCACAGCTGAATAGGGCTTTAACAGGTGGTTAAACATGTCTGTGTGGGAAGGCTTAGACCCTCAGACAGTGCAAACACAAAAGCAGGTACTGACCAGCTCCTGGGTCAGTGTTGTGCTGAGGGAGTGCAGTGTGTCAGAGCGCTGAGAGGCTCGGTCCAGCAGGTCACTGATGGGGATGGCACTGCACGCTGCCACCATATACAACACTAGGGAGCATGGAAAGCCACAAAGATGTACAGAGTTGAATTCAAATGTCTTTAAACACTGGAAAAATTTACATTCTTGTTATTATGTAAAGAATAGCATCTTATAGCATCAAATAATTTCACAGATCAAAAGGCTCGTCTCACCCGTCATGAGGAGTTTGCTTCCACTAGTCTTTCTGCGAGCCATCTCTCTTGTTTTGCCACCGGTTTGTTTGTCTTTGCGTCTTTTTCTCGTCGCTGTTTCTTTCTCTTTCTCCATTTTGCCCCCATTTTATAGTTCCTTGGCTTCAACATTTTGGTTATGCAGCAGGGTGAGCGTGTGCTGACTGGCACTTCTTTTGTCCACTTCATAATGAGAAACATGGTCAAGGAGATTTGAATGGATGCAACAGGATGCAGTCACAGGTTGATGATGGTGTGTGTGTGGCAAAGTTTCTCCCTGATGTTAATTACATTAATGAATAAAAACACTGACGTACACACACAGTGTTTTGTAATAACAATGTGACACGAGTCTTATTACATTACAACTTAATTTGATGGTTAATTTACAATAAATGAGTTAAAGTAGGTGCAAGTTACCTGCCTCCTTCTCCAGTGGTGGAGGCAGTATTCAGATCCTTCACCAAAGTAAAAGTACTAATGCCACACAAATATTCTGTAACACTGAAGATGTTATTGTAAGTATAAGAAGACTGTACTTAAAGAATTTAAAGTAAAAGTGCTCAATGCAGAAAAAAATCCCTTTGACTGTTTAAAAGCAGGATTTTACTGTTGTAGTTTGTTGAGTTAGAGCTCATTTTGAATTATTTTCTTTCGGAGAGCAACTAATAACTCCTTTCGTGATGGATTAATCTGCTGCTTATTTTCCCCATTAATCGACTGATTGTGTGGTTTGTAAAAAATCATAAAATGGTGAGAGATATAAACAACCTTTATAATTGTTTTGAAAGTGTTGTGCAAAGATTATCATCAAATCATCTATATATGGAAGTAATGTCCTCCATAGAAGAAATGTTATGTCATTTTTTTATTTACTAAAATTCCACAAAGTCCTCAATTAATCAGTCTTTTAAGGACGTTCCCCTGTAGATAAACTTTCATATAAGGGTCATGTATGCATCTAAATTATTAACAGACCTCTATTTCTTCTTGGGATAACACATAAATATATGCAATAAAACCAAAAATAAATTAATTTACAATTTTTCTATTCTAATATCGAATAATAATTCTGCACCTTACCAAACAGTGTATTCCACACAATCCACCGATTTTGAACTATGTTAACAATTTACTTGGTAATGTACAGTGTAAAGAGTTACACATAGGATTCATTTAACCTTTGTGTTGTATTGACATTGGCTTTACTTCCTTATTGTTTGGGATCAAACAGAACCCACTGCTGGATGGGTTTAAAACAAAGAATTATAATGATTTAAAAAAAACGTTTTCCTTTAAATAGTTTTCGTCTAAGATATTAAACCTAATATGTAGAAAATGATTGAACTCAAATTACAGACACAAACATGGCCATCACTTTTGATCAGGCATTGTCATTACACCAAATAAGGAAATATTTAATGTTTTATTGGCTATGGATGAACAGATGGATTACTTTTATTTTCCAAAAAGTCACTCAGGTAGAGGTTTTATGGTAACTGCTCCAAGTTTTCATGATTTAAAACATTTTTTTTTTTACAATTGTGCAGGACAGGTGACAGATTAGTCAACGGACAGAAGCAAGAACTGAATGGGGACGTCTGGTGACCATATGTGGAATGACAGCTTAGGTGATCAGCTGATACCATATACTGTAAATAATGTGATGACTTGGCGACAGAGAGAGCGGGCAGAGGCTAGGGGCTGATCAGATTATTAGCGTGTTTGGTTTTGTCTAAGGCAGGGAACAGAGTAGTGTATGGTGCATGACATAAAGAGAAAATGAATCAACTTTCCCAAAGTTAACCCTTGTGTTGAGGTTGGGATTAATTCTTCATTGTCGGGGTCCCACTGGCCCCAACAGAAACAATAGCAACATTTTTCTGTATTTTCCCCATCACATATTTCTTTTCTCCCGACATTATTATGATATGAAGAACAATAAATGACAAGTATAAATAAATAAATAAATGCAGAAATAAATAATTAAATACATAAATAAAAATAAATACATTTAGGTAATAAAAATGCTATTTCTGTATTTTTGCATTTATGTTTTTATTAATACATTTCTACATTTATTTATTTATACATACATTTACTAATGCATACATGTATTTATTAGTTATACTGTCATTTTAGTCCTTCATATAAGGTACAAGGTAAATTTATTTGTCATTTTACAACAGGGTTGTACAATGAGATGAAGTTTGTAGTACCTTTTATGCTACACACAAAAAAATATATATATACAGAAATTAACTATTTTGCATGATGCAGTGCTGAGGATGAATTTAAGAGTCTCACAGCCCTGGGCAAAGAAGCTGCTCTGAAGTCTGGTGAAGACCTAAGAGGTAAGCCTTCCTGTTAAACCTCTTGTGAACAAACTGTAAAAAAACAAAATTGAATATTTGGGAGGTGTAATGCAGGATCAAAAGTCTTGCCAACACCAGTCACAAATCATCTTTATAAGAAATTCTTGTGTGTGTATATACAACTAGGAAAAGTCAAGAATTACGCTCATAAAACTATGTTATGTGTGTTTGTTAAGTTCATTGTGCCTTTGTCCTTTACAGGAAACCTTCAGAAAGTTACATATCAACTCACCTTTCAAGGACATCTCCACATTCTTTCCCTGTGGACTAAACTGTTCAGCCCCCTGACCCCTTCATGGGCGCACTCCTTCTTGTTCAGCAGCCAAGAGGTCCCCTATGTGTTGTGTATTTCCCTCCCTGTGTTTTACTGCCAGCCTCGAGTCTCTTCCATACAATCAATAGTATCTCACATGATGGACCGCACATGTGCAAACATGCACATGCGCAGCAGCTCCTCCAATGTGTGACCTACAGACTGGCTTTGAAGTCAAAGTATCACCTCCAGTAGTTGCAGTTTCTTGAGACACCCACACACGTTTGTGCTCAAATCCCTGTTTTCTGCAAGCAAATGTCCACTTGTTGTTGGAAAACAGGTTTAATGTTGCTGACTTTGGCTTACAATGCAAAGATGAGGGTGTGTTTTGTGCTTCTTGTGCAAAGTCAGCATGAAGCCTGAGGGTATGAGTGAGGAATCTGCACACAGAGACACACAAAAAGGAAATAAAGGCTGAAATAAAGTAAAGACAGAGGAAACAATGTGAGAGTGACAGAAGCTATATTTCACTTTTTATGGGCTGAGACGTCGACCTTGCCGCTGTATTCCACAGTCAGGCAGACACGTATGTCCCATCTCCCCCATCTCCCTGTATAGCTGTGTTTAACCCTCTTGGAATCTCAAACCGGCGCGTCATCTTTTTTAGTCTGTTGCTCTCTTCACTCCATCCATGTTACAATTTTTTTTTTTTAAAGTCTGTCCTTCTTCACCCCTCCCCCATTTTCTCTTTCAGCTCCAGGCAGCGCACATACCATGAGCACACGCATGCACACGCATGCAGACACGGACGTAAACCAAAGCTACACACCCACTTTTCAATGAGCTCACATTCACTACATAGCAGTTGCAGCCTACTAAAGCCCCCCCCCTTGGCGTTTTCTGGTGATTTCTGCACACTTAAACACTTTCTGAGCTGTCCAACCCAGGACAAAGACGTCCCATCTGCAGATAGGTAGGAATTAATGCCATTGTTTTATGAATTCAATCTCATATGCTGGGTTTCTGCACAGGAAGCCACTTATGTTACTTAAAGTACATGGTGTTCTTTCTTCTCTCTGTGCACACTGCCTCACAGGGAAGTGTGGAATGAGCTTCCCACTGAAGTACATTTCTGTATGTTTCACAGAGGAGCCTTTTAGTTTCTACTACATCTTTACAGAAGGCTACATAACATGGTATCACTTTTAGACTTGTTTTCCTGTTTTGCAAGTGATCATCATTTGTACCTGCTTTATGTCCTTGTGCCAGAGAATGTATGAATTATTTCTGTAAGAGGAGACAAGAAGAGGAGGTTTTTCCATGCAGGGAGTTAATTGGTTGGCATTTGATGCTAATGTAATTTAGGCACTCACACTTTTTTTATTCTTCTTTGTGGAATATGAATGAGTAGCTAGCACTATTTCAGGGTCAGCAACAGAGCCCAGTTAATGTTGGTTGCGCTCACACAGTTGTTGAGCAGAGGTTACCAATGATAATCTGTTGCTCTGTTTTGCTTTGGCTGCAAGGATTCAACAATATGCTGCTGGAGGTTGTGAAGCATACACCAGTACATTCGCCCTGGACTACATATCTCACAATTGTTAGGCTCGCGTAATATTTTGGAGGTTTAAACAGGTGTGGAGTGGATACGCACGAGGCAGGTGAGACGTCCGGAAAGGCAGGTTAAGTAAACGATATAGTCATTTAACTCAACTTTTATGTGTTTTAGAAAGGGAGAGGATGAACGTGGTCGCACCACTAGAGTTCTAGAGTCAGAGTTTGTGCCTTTCTGTGCGTGCTAAAGCGGCGGCAGATTCAGATCCTCTTGTGCAGGTTGTTGCGTAAGTGAGGAGTGCGGTGCAGTGATGCAACACGATAGTGTGTCGCAGTGATAATAGATCATCCTCGGCCATAATTGGGATTTCATTCTGTTAAAGGGTAGCTTCACCCAAAGTACAAAAAAACACATCTGTTATTAATTAAATATTTTCCGTTTTTAGTTTACAGAAGGCTACAGAGACTTATGTCAGCAACCTAATAAAGTGGAGGCAAATTTATTCCACATACAAATTTCAATTAATCTAGTGTTTTGGTAACATAAAGAACCAAAAACATATTTTTCTGACACAGTGTCAGTTGTTGTGGGCTGTCCTGTACTCATTATTAACCCAGTGTTGTCAGGGTAGAAAATATTGTTCATTTGGTGGTCTTCTGGTCTGGTAGTAGGCTCAGATGAAAAATCTTATTGTGGGTTTTCAACATTAGTGGCAGATATCTCAGTCTCATCACAAAAAGATATGTCATGTTCTGCAGCTGTGTGGGTCCAAACCAGATCTGAAACCCATTAGTCGATTAATTGATTAGTAGGCAGACAGAATTATATTGTTTCAGTGATTTTTTAGTAAGGTAATAGTAGAGAGGTAATGGAGCTGAACATTTTGTAGTTCCAGAGATAAAGTTTTCAGGGGGCGTTTTGAAGTTCTATTAAGTTCTGACTGTGACCTTGGGAAAACTTTTGTTGGTTCCTACAAGGACATATGTCTCAATGTGGCCACTGCTCCTACTTGGGATTGAATAAAATCAATATATAAACACTATACTTTATTATATATATCTACAATGATAACTGATTATAAAAGACCTTCATGAAAGACTGATGATTTCGCATTCCCTGACCTTAGGAGCATGGCTGCCATGTGCTGTGATGAAGACTGCGGTAGCAGCAGGATGCCACTAGGTGGCACAACTCAATGGACAGATTCCGTTTTGTTGCACTGTGCACAAGACAAATTTCCCCTCAGGGAAAATAAAGTGTATTCTATTCTTTTCTATTTTATTTGAAAACTGCCTGTCATTCTGATCATGTTCAAACCGCCCTGACACACACACACACACACACACACGCCAGTTACTTCACTCCATCACATTGTAGATGGGCTGTGAAATGTATGAAGTTTAACCATTGACACGTAGTATTTGGTGAGCATTCGATATCAGTTTTAAGCGTGTTCCTCCATGCCTGAGCTGTACAGTTGGGTGGGAATCCTACTTGGCATTGAGGTGGTACTGGAACTATCATACCACATGAAGAACCTGACATCCATGCGGGACCTGAACGCGCTGCTTCCCCTCTTTTGTCCCTGTTTTGTAATCATCGGCCTTTGTACTTCAGTCTAGGTCACTACCCCTTCACCCTTGCATCTAATCCCCCACCCTTAACCGTTGTGTACACACATGTGCTGCCCTTTCACATGTTTATCTCCTCCCACCTCCTCCTGTGGCCCCTCCCCCTTTAGCAACTCACTCTCAACTCCACTGTCTCTGTGTGTGTGTCTCTCTCTCTCTGTCTCTCTTGGCGGCTCTGGGATCCATAGGCGTTCGGAGGACAGGACACACACCCTCAACACCACACAGCAGCACTACAGACATGTCGGACTCTGAGACCGCCGCTGCCCCCGCCGAGGCCCCCGTCCCTGCTGCTTGTGCCAGCATCAAAGCTGACCTGGACAAATGGTAGGTGACGGTGTGCATGTTGCAAAAAGATGTGCAGAAGATAAGTAAATGTGTTTCTTTTACTTTCAGTGAAAAACAGTTCTTCATGACACCAAACTCAGTGAGCCCATAGGAAGCTCTTGCAATTGTTGGTCCAACTCTGAATGTTCTCCTCTGGCTTCAGGAGTTGCCTTCAAACATTCATATTTGCTGAGGTGTTGAGCAGCTGAAGGTGGCAAAAACCTGAACATTTGCATCATTTTGCTCTGGGCTTGGACGTTGCCTCAGAGCATCGCATCCATGCACAGAACAAAAAATTGAGCTTATTTAATCATGCACAGGTCTAAGTGCCGATTGAATTAGCAACCCAAAATGCGCCATGTTAAAATGGAGTCTCTTCGGGCTGTGGTTAGCGCTAAAAACCACCAAGAGAGAATGTAGTCCTGCATGTTGAAATGTAACTGAATTCGACATCCCAGCTGGGTGCAGAGGGCAAGGGTTATGAAAATCTGGGGTTCCCTATGTAAGGCAGAGTGATTTGGGGATTAATAATGTGTGGCAGCGGGGTGATTGTTTGATGCTCATCCACACGCATGGATGAAGTCTGGGAATCTGCTTTCGTCACTAGCCTCCCTTACCCAGGATACCTCGCGTTAGCTCGTTCCATTTGTCCCCGTCGTCTCTTTCTGCCTCTTGCTGTGTCAACGGTCAGCGATACCACCTCGGTGATATTTTTGTTGCATTTATTCGCAGCAGACACTCTTCTGTGTGTGTGTGTGCGCGCTGTTTACAGAGAAGTGCAGTGTAAAAACACTTTGGTGCACATCATCTTGGTTTCTGCGCATCAACGCTCTGCACCTCTTCTCTGGGACAGACCATTTTGACAGGGTTCATTTGGTGGATGGTTGCGAAACTGCGATGGATTATCATGAGCGGTTAACTTGTATCTCTACGTTTCTTGAACACTGGATATTGTAATTTAGCCTTTTTTGTGTTTTTATGAATCATATTTGTGCAGAATACACTTTTTTCCTATAGTGAAGGCTGCCAAGTCTGTTCCAGCCAGAGCGCCAGGCCTTGATAAGGTGGCAGTGGGTGTGTGAAGCCTTTAGATAAGACAGCAGGTTGATGTGGAGAAGGGAGGGAGGGGTTGCAGGGTGTGGGTGGTTGGCTAATCATGTGAAAAAGTGCTAACTTTCCCCCCCATTTTCACTTTTTTAAGTGTCTGAAGACACTTCAAAATCCATTTGAATTTGCAGGCTTGATAGTTAGTGTGACATCCAGTAATATTTGTTGACAGGTCTATGTTTAGGTTTTATCAATATAAATGATCCAACATTGATAAACAAAAATTCTCTGAGGGTCCATGCTGTTTATTGCTGCTTGTTAAAGTTCAAGTAGACCCATACTGGGAACTCAAGGTCGGCACTCTAGAGAGTGAGTCTTTAAAACACACCACAAGTGGGTTTATGATTATAAGGCGTTCTGTTGCTCATGTTTGCAGGTGTGCGGGGGCCATTACATGCAGAACATCAACCCGTGATCTTGATAGCCGCAAATGGGGCCTTAAACTGCCAATGTTAATCTGAGGGCCACTGTGGCCCCTCACAGTATACGACTGGATACTTGACCCTGCTCGCTCTGCATCCTTATCCCGTGATCTTCAATTACAGATATTGCCCACAAGAGTTGGTAACATGCTGGTAACCAATCGACGCTGACTCAGGTGGCACCACTTGAGGGCAGTTTATCAGACTTCACACAGCTCCCTCTGGAGC